TGCCACACCATGTGGTCACCTCCGGGGCAGGTGGGAATCGAACTCATGTGGAAGCAGCTTTAGATTCTCAGTGCTGTGCTTTAACCTGCTGCGCCACCAGGGAGGGCCCCCATCCTGGTAAGTTTTTACAGTACTCTGTGCTGTTTGACCATCTGAATTCAGATTGTGACCCCTGCCTTATCCTGAGGTCACCTGTTTCCTAGACTGGATTTCAGGACTAGAGTTTTAAGTAGTACCAAGTGTGGATGACCACAAGTCTCCTAGCTGGTTACGTCCCCTCTCCTACCCTAAAGCAGGCTGGAGCTGGGCAGGAAGGGAAGCTAAAAAAGATTAGAAAAAAAGGACTCGGAGGAGCAGCCAGAAGAGGCAGAGATGAACTGGAAGAGGTACATAGAGCAGAAATATAGTGAAACAGCTGTGCTTGTTTCTTGGCCTTGAATTTGTACCACAAACTTGGGGCACATGGAAGGAGACCCTTGAAGAGATAAAGATGTGGATGAGAGATCTATGAGGAGGCTGAAAATGGCAGTCTTTATTTTGACTGAATTTTGATTTTGCTCTTTGCTTTCCAGACTTGGCAGACCTCTTTTGTCCCTGTTCTATGTGTCCCCACCAAAACGTGACTCGGCCTTTTGAGCCTCAGCTCCCTTGCTTTGGGCTAACCATGTTTAGCTGGGCATTTGCCCACAAGGAGAGAGGTAACATTGAGTGCATCATTGGGAGATTATATTCTCTCTCTCTCTCTCTTCTCTCTACTGCACAGTAATTATTGCAAACTAATTGTATTAAAGTTCTTTTCTGTTGAAGGTCTTAAGTACTAGAGTTTGTTTATTTTAATGTAATGGATAGCAGAACCTATTTAGAGTATACAGGTTTGGGGGCCCTGGGGTGCCCTCCTTCTGCCCTGTAATAGTCTGAGGGCAACAGATTGCATTTCAGTGTGCTTCCTTCTGCATCTGATGCTGAAAATGCATCTCTCTATATCTGAAATACTGAAGAACTGTTAGGCCTAGGTTCCTGGTCTTTACAAGATCCAAAAAGCTGACAGTGTAGTTTCTTAATATTTTTTTTTTCTTAAGTCCTGAATTAATGTAGCCAAGCTTAAATAAACTATTTCTTTAAAAAGTTCATGGGCTGGGGCCCTCCCTGGTGGCGCAGCGGGTTAAAGCACAGCACTGAGAATCTAAAGCCGCTTCCACATGAGTTCGATTCCCGCAGACCTCTCCTGACCCGCCCGATGCTCCCCTCAGCAGTGTACTTC